CTGCAAAATCCCCATTCCCACTCCACTCCAGGGGAAGGATACTGCAAAATCTCCATTCCCACCCCACTCCAGTGGAAGGATACTGCAAAATCCCCATTCCCACCCCCCTCCAGGGGAAGGATACTGCAAAATCTCCATTCCCACTCCACTCCAGGGGAAGGATACTGCAAAATCCCCATTCCCACCCCACTGTGGGACCAGCCAGAGGTGGTATTTGCCAGTTCTCTGAACTACTCAAAATTTCCGCTACCGGTTGCCCAGAACCTGTCAGAACCTGCTGGATTTCACCCCTGCTGGAACGGCTGCGCATGGCCCTCCCAAGCTCCGTTTTCCCTGGCAGAGGGCTGCAGGAGGCCGTCGCGGCTGAAAACGAAGCCTGGAACAGCTGCATGCAACATTATCAAGCTCGGTTTTTGCTGGCAGAGACCCCGCGGGCCAGTCCTTTGCTGTTTCGAGGGCGGCCCTGCGGGCCAGATCTATGCACCCCACAAACCGGATTCGGCCCGCGAATTTGAGTTTGACACTGCTGTTCTAAAAGATCCGAGTCACCTGTCCTGCAAGGAGAGACTAACTACCTCCTTGACTTAACAGCCACAACTGAACCCAAAATTTCTATTCAGACAGCTGGAATTTTGTCCCATTTTACAACCTTGCCAAAGCTGTTAAGTGAATCGCTGCAAGTTATTAAGGCAGGAACACAATGGTTACGCGTTGACTTTGCTTGTCAGAAGGTTGCAAAAGGAGATCACATGACCCCGGGACAGTGCAACCGTCCTAAATACGAGCCAGTTGCCAAGCGTCCAAATTTTGACCATGGGGACGCTACAACCGTCGTAAGTGTGAAAAAATGGTCATGTCACTTTTTTCAGTGCCGCTGGTACCTTCGAACGGTCACTAAACGAAATCAGGCGCAGTCCCATGATGCCTCACTTCATAACTTAGTGACCATACCGGCTTAATGAATTAACTGGTCCTTTTTATAGTCCGAAATAGAGGACCCACTTGTACCCTTAAGGGTTAAGAGATTCGTGGGGAGTGGAGAAGGAATCTCTTAATAGGGATTTTGAAGGAGATGTGGGGCTTTTTTGGGGGGGAGAGATCTACAGAGGGATTAAATGGGTAGGTCCTCCAAATTATTCCATTTGTAGATGAAGGACGATTTCCTGGTGTGGTTGACCCGTGGAAAGTCAGGAAGAGCCCTAACCCATGCCAGTTTCTTTTTTAGGGAAAATAGGAAATGTTGTTTAAAAGACATACCAAAGACCAACACACGCACACACACACACACACACACACACACCAACCCAACTTGTACCTTAGGCCAGTGGCCTCCAACCTTTTGGGCACCAGGGACCAGTTCCTTAGAGAGAGCTTTTTATCGTGGACTGGAGGGGACATGGTTTCAAATGCTGCCTGCATCCCATGGATGGGGCTTTGCTTGTTTGCGTGGACTGGTTGCTGGCATGTTACTGGTTGGGGACCATGGGTTGGGGACCATGGGTTGGGGACCATGGGTTCCCTAGGCCAACCCTGTTATGCTTACATCCTGCAGATATATAAGGCAGATCTGTGTAAATGTACTTCTGCTACCCAAAGGAATAGGAAGGATCCTTGCAAGGGCTTTGAAACTTTTTTATTTCTTCAGCTTTTGGAGATATCACTAACCCTTGCTCAAAAACCTTTCATGAAACAAAGGCTAAAAAACTCTCTAAAAGAGAGAGAGGGGGGCAGAGGCAGACAGAGAGGCAGAGAGAGAGAGGCAAAGAGAGAGAGAGAGAGAGAGACACAGAGGCAGAGAGAGACACACATAGAGAGACAGTGAGACATACAGAGAGAGGCAGAGAGAGAGAGAGATACAGAGAGACACAGAGACATACAAAGAGACAGAGAGAGGCAGAGAGACACAGAGAGAGAGAGACAGTGAGATGCAGAGAGAGAGAAACAGAGAGACACAGAGAGAGAGAGACATACAGAGAGACAGAGACAGAGAGAGAGACATACAGAGAAACACAGAGACAGACAGAGACATACAGAGAGACACAGAGACAGACAGAGACATACAGAGAGACACAGAGACAGAGAGAGACACATACAGAGAGACAGAGAGAGAGAGAGAGAGAGAGAGAAACAGAGACAGACAGAGAGAGACATACAAACACAGAGACAGACAGAGAGACAGAGAGAGAGAGAGAAACAGAGAGACAGAGAGAGAGAGACATACAGAGAGACACAGACACACACAGAGAGAGAGAGACAGAGAGAGAAAGAGAGACAGAGATGGACAGAGACATACAAACACAGAGTGAGAGAGAGAGACAGAGAGAGAGAGAAACATACAGAGAGACAGAGAGAGACAGAGGGAGACATACAAAGAGACACAGAGACAGAGAGAGGCAGAGAGAGACACATAGAGAAAAGAAGAATAACTTTTCCCAACAGCTTTTCTTTTCCTTGGCCTAATCCTGCCAACCTTACAACCTAATTTTGCTAAACAACGACAAGCACACCGCTGACTCCCAGACAGAAGCGGGCAATGTGCATTTTTCTATAATCTACAGAAGCTGCAAATATTTATCTGTGCTGTAATATTTCAGAAAATTGACTTTCTGTGCAATATTTAAGGGTAATTTTTCCCCCTCCCCTCCCTGGTCTCTGCCCCCTGGCAAATACAGGCTTTCCCCATTCTGGCTATTGTAAAGCGCTCCGCTGAACATCAGCCTGCAAAAGAAAAACCGGCTTTCCCCGGCCTTTAATTGTACGCGGGGCTTATGAAATTGATTTGAGAGCTTAGCTTTTTACAATGCCCAGTGAATACAAAACATTTCTGACAATCAATCAATGAAGGAATAATCACTCCTTATTCCTCTCTCTCTTCCTCCTCCCTTCCCTATTGTTACCTTTCCCCTACCTTTCTTGGGAAGGATAAGTTCAAACGCCAGAAAATCTTTGTGAGACAACCACTTTTAAATTAAGCAGAAAATGGACATCGACACACTTGTTAATCTCACCTGGATCATTATTGGGGGGGGGGGGTGTATGGGGGGGGGGGGTAACAGGCAGCCTTCGATACAGGAATGCTTGTTTCCTGAACCACATCTACTGTCTTGCCAAAAAAAAAAAAAGAATTTTCTCTTTAATTTCTTGTTTCTAAACAGCACCATAACAAGTTTTAGAAATAGGTTAGTCCTTGATTTACAACACATTGACTCTGGCAATCACGGCCGTAAGTCATGTGATGGTAACTTATGAGGTGACTCACTTTACAGACATAAAGTGGATCACCACACGACTGGATCCGGTTTTACAACCTTTTTTGTGGTATAAATGAGATCCGGTTGCAGAGCTTCCAAAATTTGATTGCGAGAAACAAGCAGCTGTCAGACCTCATCTAGGTTATAAATATCTTCCTTTGGGCTCCATCGTAATTTAGGACAATCACTAAGCAACCTGTCGTAAATTGAGGATTAACTGTAAATAATTTTTCCAGGCTGTGATTTTTTCCCCCGATTGTGCCATGGTGTGAAGGGAAGAAAAAAAATCGAAAATTGTGTTTTTGCAAAGAGGGTGATTCCTTTGACAAAATTATATTTGTGAATATAAATGTACTGTATGCCCACATGCATTTGGTTTATCTTTTGTTTCAATGGTTACAGGTTTCCCTTTCTTTGTCACAAAACTTTCCTTTGTAATCCCAAAGGTGCTTTTTCAAAAGACAATTGGACTTTGTTTTTTCCTTTGAAGATGTTTTGCTTCTCATCGAAGAAGTTTCTTCACTTCTGATTGAATGGTGGAGAATAGAATGATTTATACTCAAAACCAAACTCCTGGCTGTGGGCAGAGGTTGCTTGCAATACTACACCATAACCACTGTACCACCACAGTTTTTAGATAGATAGATAGATAGATAGATAGATAGATAGATAGATAGATAGATAGATAGATAGATAGATAGATAGATAGATAGATAGATAGATAGATGATAGATAGATAGATAGATAGATAGATAGATAGATAGATAGATAGATAGATAGATAGATGATAGACAGACAGACAGACAGACAGATAGATAGGGGAAGGGAGAGAGGGGAAAGAGATGACAGATAGATAGATAGATGGATGGATGCATGCATGGATAGATAGATGGATGCATGGATGGATGGATAGATGGATGCATATATGGATGGATGGATGCATGGATGGATGGATGGACGGACGGACAGGCCAGACCGGCAGACAGACAAAATAATGAAGACAAATAATTGTCCCAGGATAATGCTGCAGGATCCAATCTGGGTCGGTCACTGGGACCAGAGGTTTGTCTTCCAAGCTCGTGCTGGAGCCCATCCTCTACCAGAATATGTGATCCATTCTGCTGGAGAGAAGTTCCCTGAAGATTCCAGCACGAGTCCGAAAACTCAGAAGACTAAACCTCTGGGTCCCTGTGACTGACCTAGATTGGATCCTGCAAGATAGAGAATAAAGCCCCCCACCCTGAAAAACCCCCAACTCTTCAGAATGCAGCACTGGGATGGGCAAAGAGATCCATGGATTGACGGGGAGGGTACAGCTGTTTCCCTGTTTGTTAGAAATCTTGTTTCTCCACACCTCTACCGTTCGTTTTTCTTTCCAGGCCCCAACATCCTCTGCTCTTCCACTCTCTTTCCTGTCTGGCCTTGGAGATTCAGACTTGTTTTAAAAACCTGGATACCTTCCTTTTTAGGCAGGAGCTCCCTAGAATGGCACAAGTGCAGTCTGCTTGTTTTCATTCTCCCCTCAACGTCCTCTCTAGGCATCTGCGTTGGGAAACAGAGTGGTACATCCATAGGGTGGAATGGCTTTTGAACGGGGTGGAATTGTTCATACATTACATGCAATGTCCCAAATAAATAATGCATGTCTGAACCATAGATAAGCTGCTGAGCCGGGGGTCTTCCCCTCCTGTCTCCCTTGCTCTTCCCTCCTTGCAAGTCCCTGACAAGCATCTTTACTTTTGATTTCAGGCACCCCGGAGTTAAACCCAGCTGAGCGGAAGGATCTGGAGGCCAAGCTGAAAGAGCGGGAAGAATTCCTAATTCCCATTTACCATCAGGTAGCGGTGCAGTTTGCTGACTTGCACGACACGCCCGGCCGGATGCAGGAGAAGGGTGTCATTACCGTAAGTGTCGGGAATTTTTTCCTTACCAATGGCTGTCAAAAAGAGCTTTTGCTTTTTCAGGGCTGGTGGAGCTGCTGCTGAGAAGGTCCTCCCAACCCAGTGTTCTGAAGTGGGGGAGAGACGGGGGGCGGGGGGGAGATCTCTTCCAGCCTGGATGATGCTGACAGCATGGGGTGAATATTAAAAATTTGTAAAGGCTTAAGGGAGGGCCCTAATAGCTCTGAGGGTCTCCCCCGCTGCTCAGGGGGTGAAGGCAGAGCGGGGCAGCACTGAAAGGTGGAATTCAGTGAAGTCCTTGGGTCTTCAGCGGTCCATGTGGATGAAACAATTGTCCCATTCTGCTTGTTGGTAGGAAGGAGAGGGAGATGAGGAGAGGGAGGGAGGGAGGGAGGGAAAGAAGGGAGGGAAGGAGGAAAAGGAGAGGGGAGGGGAGAGGAGGAGAGGAAGGAATGAACAAATGGAGGAGTGGGAAGAAGAAGGAAGGAAAGAGAAAGAAAGAGAGAAAGAGAGAAGGAAAGAGGAGGGGAGGAAAGGAAGAAGAAATGAAGGGAGGGAGGAGGGAGGAAGGGAGAAGGAAGGGAGGAAAGAGAAAGAAAAAAGGAAGGAAGAGAAAGAAAGAAAGAAGGGGAGGAAGGGGAAAAAATGAACTAATGAAGGGAGGGAGGAATGGGGAAGGAAGGAAGGATGGATTCTGGGTCTTTATATGTTGCCAGTTTTTATTACACTATGTGTAAGGTGAGCCCTGCTATGAACTGTAACTGCTAAGTTTTATGCAAATCACGTTTTTCCCCTCTCGGTGTAATAAAAATCTTTGTTCTTATTTTTTAAATATTTTTTAAATCGTTTGACAAATCAGCTTGTAAGCCAGCATTTTGGCCTACGCAGTCTATGGCCTATATAAGCCACAGCTTTTCCTGACTGGTTCTTTTGCAACAAGCCAGCATGGTGCTCTCACCTTGAACCGTTGGGACTCTCAAGCCACCATCTGTGCAACAGCAGCCTCATTCTGACACATCTAATTGGACTGGGAATCGTGTGTTGCTGGTGGCTGCGTACAGGGAGGCAAAGGCTGCTGAACAAAATGGTTTTACTTGCTAGAAAATGTAGCTCTGAATCCTCATCGCAGGGTCTGATTTTGGCTTAAAAACAACTTCTCTGCTCCATTTTTTCCCATCCTGTTTTGGAAAATGTGTGTGTGGTGGCGGGGGACTGTGATTTTTTAAAATCACTTTTAAAAAAAACCCTGTTGGATTCAGGTTGGGCCTCTTCATCAAAGGAAGAAATGCACCTAGAGGCAAAGGTGACTTCTCAGGGTTTTGTTTGTTTGGTTCGGTATAATTTAACTAGAGATCTTTTTTAAAAAAAAAGAAAACAAGAAAATTCAAACTAATATAAAATGAGAAAAAAGAAAAGCAGAAGAAGAAGAAAGAGAAAGCTTAAAAGTGCAAGAAAGTAAAAAAAGAGAAAAGAGAAAAAAATAAACAGAGAAGTAATTTTAGAAAAGTTATAATTACAATTATAAATTTACCTCTTACTCTATGGTTACAATAGAGCTCTCTGTAGCTCTCTTCTATTACCTATTCTGTCTAATCGTTAATTAGACAGAATAGGTAATAGAACGTTAATCATATGTTCATTTTTTTTTCTGTTTTACTCTCAAAAAGTCCATAAGGACTTTCCGGTCAGCAATAAACATCTACAAATAGTTCTCAGCATGAGGGATCCTTGATGCTCTCTGAGCTTGCTTGTTTTCATGCAGACATTTCCTTCCTTCCTTCTTTCCTTCCTTCCTTCCTTCCTTCCTTCCTTCCTTCCTTCCTTCCTTCCGGGGGGAGTTCATTCCAGATGGTAGAGGCCCCACAGAGAAGGCTCTCCCCCTAGGGGCCGCCAGTCGACACTGTTTGGCTGACGGCACCGGAGGAGTCCCTCTCTATGAGAGCGTACTGGCCGTGGGAGGCTATTGGTGGTAGTAGGCGGTCCCGTAAATAACCAGGCCCTAAGCCATGGAGCGCTTTAAAGGTGGTAACCAAAACCGTGAAGCGCACCTGGAAGATCACCGGGAGCCAGTGCAGCTCGCGCAGGAGAGGTGTCACATGGGAGCGCCATGTCGCTCCCATTACCACCGCGCAGCCGCACTTTGCGCCAGTTGGAGCCTCCGGGTGCTCCTCAAGGGGAGCCCCATGTAGAGAGCATTACAATAGTCCAGGCGGGAGGTGACGAGGGCATGAGTGACCGTGCGTAACGAGTCCCAATCCAGAAAGGGACGCAACTGGCGAATCAGGCGGACCTGATAAAATCCTCCTGGTCACGGCCGTCAAGTGCTCTTCTAAAGACAGCCGTGAATCCAGGAGGACGCCCAAGTTGCGAGCCCTCTCCGTGGGGGCCAATGATTCGCCCCCAATAGTCAGTGATGGCGTCAACTGACTATATCGGGACGTCGGAAACCACAGCCACTTGGTCTTGGATGGGTTGAGCCTGAGCCTGTTCCTCCCATCCAGATCCGTACGGCCTCCAGGCACCGGGACATCACTTCAAGGGCATCGTTGGGGTGATCCGGGGTGGAGATGTACAGCTGGGTGTCATCAGCGTACTGATGGTACTCCACCCGAAACCACGGATGATCTCGCCCAGCGGCTTCACATAAATGTTGAACAGGAGAGGCGAGAGGACCGACCCTTGCGGCAACCCACATATGAGGGGCCTCGGGGTCGACCTCTGTCCCCCTGTCAACACAGACTGCGACCGGTCAGAGAGAAAGGAGGAGAACCACCGCAACCACAGTGCCTCCACCCCTAACTCTTCCAACCGGTGCAGCATGATACCATGGTCGATGGTATCAAAAGCCGCTGAGAGATCTAACAGGACCAGGACAGAGGAACACCCCTGTCCCGAGCCCTCCAGAGATCATCAACCAACGCGACCAATGCCGTTTCCGTGCTGTACCCGGGCCTGAAGCCCAACTGGAACGGATCCAGATACGTCGTTTCATCCAGGTGCTGGGGGAGCTGTTGCGCAACCACACTCTCAACAACCTTCGCACAAAACGAAGGTTGGAGACCGGACGATAATTTACCAACATTGCCGGGTCCAGGGAAGGCTTCTTGAGGAGAGGCCTCACCACCGCCTCTTTCAAGGCGGCAGGAAAGACACCCTCACCCAGCGAAGCATTTATAATCCCCTGGAACCAGCCTCGTGTCACCTCCCGAGAAGCCAGCACTAACCAGGGGGACACGGGTCCAATAAACAAGTGGTCACATTCAGTCTACCCAGAATCCTGTCCATGTCCTCAGGGTCACAGGATCAAACTCATCCCAGATAACATTCTCAAGACCTGCCCCAGTCCCTCCCCCTGAGACTACCCAGTCGGAGTCCAGATCTTCCGAATCTGAGCGATTTTGTCATACAGATATTGAACAAAATCCTCGGCTCTACCCTCCAAGGGGTCCTCCCGCGCTTCCTGGTGGAGCAGGGAGCGGGTCACCCTAAACAGGGCGGCCGGGCGATTATCTGATGACGCAATAAGAGCAGCAAAATAACTACATTTCGCTGCTTTTATCGCCACTAGGTAATTCCTAATATGAGCTGTTACCAGTGTCCGGTCAGATTCAGAAAGCCTGGCCCTCCAACTACTCTCTAGGCGTCTTTTCGGCGCTTCAACTCCCTCAGCTCCTCAGTGAACCAAGGAGCTAAATGAGATCGGCGCCGGGTCAGAGGCCGCAAAGGCACGACCCGATCCAGAGCTCCAGCGGCCGCCCTATCCCAGGCGGCCACTAGGTCTCCAGTCAAGGCGTGTGCCAGAGCCTCAGGGAATGGCCCAAGCTCCATCTGGAACCTATCAGGTTCCATCAGGCGCCTGGGGCGGAACCATCTTACCGGCTCCGCCTCCTGCGGCGGGGTGTAGCGGTTCGAAGGTCGAGACGAAGGAGAGAGTGATGAGACCATGACAAGGGCTCGGTGACTATATCCCCTATCTCGAGATCACTCAACCACTGTCCAGAGACAAAAACCAGATCCAGCGTGTTTCCCCCATGTGGGTAGAGCCATGAATTAACTGGGTCAGGTCCATGGCTGTCATGGAAGCCATGAACTCCCGAGCCACCTCAGATGCCTCACCAACGGACGGCAAGTTGAAATCCCCCATGACCATAAGCCTAGGGGTCTCAACCGCCACCGTGGCGATGACGCTGAGTAGCTCGGGCAGGGCTGCTGCCACATGGCAGGGAGCCAGGTACGTGATCAGCAAACCCATCTGAACCCCGTGGCCCCATTTCACAAGGAGGGATTCACAGCCGGCCGTCTGAGGAACAGTGGCCTCCCTCGGTCTCAGACCTTCGTTAATAATAACCGCTACCCCCCCGCCCCTACCCTGCAACCTCGGCTGATGGAATGCGTGGAAACCTGGTGGGCACATTTCAACAAGAGGGACCTCCCCCTCTTGGCCCAACCAGGTTTCCGTAATACCTGCCAGGTCCGCTCCCCCTCCTGAACAAGATCACAAATGAGGGGGGCTTTATTTACTACAGACCTGGCATTGCATAACATCAGACGGAGGCCAGGGCCCTGAGGATCTGCGCCACCTGGAAAACGAGTGGAGCTTTGGGGGCCGGAGCGCGCCACTGCTCGAAGACAGCGGGCGCGCGCTCCCCGAACACGATATGGCCCCTGCTCCCGCCATATCTACCCCTCCCACCCACAGTACTGATGTTAAAAACCTTATCTGGATGAACTTTATCCCCCTCTTGACCCAGGCCCCCAACCCCCGTGCCGTGCTCCACAGCCATACCTGGCCCTCCCTTAGTGGGTTATCCTCCATACCCACGACCTTACTTCTAATCTAACCCTCCCCCCCCCTGGAACCCCTTAAGACATTTGCTAAAACTTTATATAAAAAACCCCTCAAACCCCTCTTCGCGACATGCCACCTCTCTGGGTTCCAAAGCCCTTCATCGAGGTAGGCCTTCGATAACATGGAAGGCCAGGCTTGCGAGAGGGGGAGTCTCGCAAGGCAAAGAGCTCAGCTGGTGAATACATTCTGCAAGTTCGCCTGGGGAAATAGAGTCAGGCTAAGGATTCAATGGTGGTACATTTAAAGGTTACAATAGAGCTCTCTATAGCTCTCTTCTATTACCTATTCTGTCTAATCGTTAATTAGACAGAATATGTAATAGAACGTTAATCATATGTTCATTTTTTTTTCTGTTTCACTCTCAAAAAGTCCATAGGACTTTCGGTCGGCAATAAACATCTACAAATAATTCTCAGCATGAGGGATCCTTGGTGCTCTCTGAGCTTGCTTGTTTCTTGCAGACATTTCCTTCCTTCCTTCCTTCCTTCCTTCCTTCCTTCCTTCCTTCTTCCTTCCTTCCTTCCTTCCTTCCTTCCTTCCTTCCTTGCATTTGTTTGCCACCCATCTCGCTTTGCCACCCATCTCGCTTCGAAGCTACTCTGGGCGGCTTACAACATTAAAAAGCAATAAAACCGTAAAAAATAAATATTTCTAAAAACAATAAAAATATCCCGCCTTTATTTTTAATATGGTGGCCAACGTATCCTGTGCTCCTTCTTCTCCACAACAACCCTGTGAGGCGAGCTGGTCTTTGAGAGAGTGATTGGCCCAAAGTCACCCAGTCGGCTTTCAAGATTAAGGCAGGACTAGAACTCACAGTCTCCTGGTTTGTAGCCTGGTGCCTTCACCACTAGGCCAGACAGGCTTTCTCTATAAAACTGGATTTATTCAAGAGAGCTCCCAAAGGCTCCAGTCAAGGTTTCCATGAGAAAATCGGACATCCACTTGCCTGGAATGGTCTGAGGACTCCTGCACCGAATTGGGGGTAAAGCTAGAGGACCTCAAAGGTCCCTTCCAATCAGGGGTGCTTCCTTCCTTCCTTCCTTCCTTCCTTCCTTCCTTCCTTCCTTCCTTGCATTTGTTTGCCACCCATCTCGCTTCGAAGCTACTCTGGGCGGCTTACAACATTAAAAAGCAATAAAACCGTAAAAAATAAATATTTCTAAAAACAATAAAAATATCCCGCCTTTATTTTTAATATGGTGGCCAACGTATCCTGTGCTCCTTCTTCTCCACAACAACCCTGTGAGGCGAGCTGGGCTTTGAGAGAGTGATTGGCCCAAAGTCACCCAGTCGGCTTTCAAGATTAAGGCAGGACTAGAACTCACAGTCTCCTGGTTTCTAGCCTGGTGCCTTCACCACTAGGCCAGACAGGCTTTCTCTATAAAACTGGATTTATTCAAGAGAGCTCCCAAAGGCTCCAGTCAAGGTTTCCATGAGAAAATCGGACATCCACTTGCCTGGAATGGTCTGAGGACTCCTGCACCGAATTGGGGGTAAAGCTAGATGACCTCAAAGGTCCCTTCCAATCATGGGTGAGCTTCGAAAATTTTAGCAAGGGGTTCTCTGCCCAGTTCCTGGGTGGGCGTGGCCATGGTGGGTGTGGCCTAGTTGGCCTCCTGCACCACGGCGGGTGGGGTGGGGTGTTTTTGCCCTCCCCGGGCTCCGGAGGTTTTCCTTGAGCCTCCGGGAGAGCGAAAACAGCTTCCCCAGCCTCCGCTGGGCTCTTTTTTCTCCCTCCCTGAGCCTCCATGCGGACCCTGCACTTATCTGCATCCAAAATGGGCTGCATGGGGACTCCTGGGAATGGAGGGGCGGGGTGGGCGGGGAAGGGAGGGGCCAGCCAGGAGTGGGATTTGTCGGTTCTCCAAACTGCACAGAATCTTAGCTAGGGATTCTCCTGAACCCCCAGCAGCCCACCCCTTCTTCCAATCCAGTGGTGGGTTTCAAATTTTTTTACAACTAGTTCTGTGGGTGTGGCTTGGTGGGCGTGGCATGGCTTGTTGGGCGTGGCTTGGTGAGTGTGGCAGGGGAAGGATACTGTAAAATCTCCATTCCCTCCCCACTCCAGGGGAAGGTTACTGCAAAATCCCCATTTCCTCCCAATCAGCTGGGACTCGGGAGGCAGAGAATACTGTAGATGGGGGCGGGGACAGTCAGAATTTTTACTATCGGTTCTCCAAACTACTCAAAATTTCCCCTACCGGTTCTCCAGAACTGGTCAGAACCTGCTGAAACCCACCTCTGTTCCAATCCCATGATTCTATTCCCCTTCTAGAGCAGGCATGGACAACTTTCTGTGGACTTCAGCTCCCAGAATTCCTGAGCCAATATGGCTGACTTAGGAATTCTGGGAATTGAAGTCCACAAGTGGTAAAGTTTCCATGGTTACTCATCCCTGTCCTAGAGTGTGTGTTAAGAAGCCAAAAAATAAAAATAAAAAAAGAGTCCACACAAGGCGCTGTCACATTGCATTTCCATATCAACGTGAGATAAAATTGCTCATGGCCCAAAGAGGGCTCACTAACATGGTTAAAAGCGAGTTAATTGCTCTCCTTTCAGTTCTCTTTCCTCATCAAACCATTTTGTGTGAGGAGGAGGAAGAGGAGGAGGCCCTCCTTCATTGTACATACATGATTGCCTCTGGAACTCAAGAATTCTTGTTTGACAAAAAAAACGCACCATGTAATAATTTTCGCTCAAGGAAAAAAAAAAGCATTGGCCTGTGTGTACCCAGATTTATTTATCGATCCCAAATATTTACATTCGGCCTCTCGGCCTCCAAGGTGGCCAGCGATAAGTGAAAATGAATGCATGATAAACATCCCATTGTTTTGACGGGAGATTAGCTCTGTCTTGAAAAAGGACTGAGCATCCATAATGTAGATTAGAGCAAATCTCGTCATGTTGGAGAGATAACAGTGGAACGAGTGGGGGCTTCACACGCATATACAGACACACCAGCTCTTCATGCTATGAAACATCCTCTGATCTTGGTCCCTTTGTTTTGGTTACAGAGGTGGCACCTCTATCTTCACCTGCAAAATATTTTTTTCTGGCTCTCTTGTGGGTTGGGTGGGACTTGTGACCTTGGTCCTCCACCATCATTGTGAACTTCTCTCTCTCTCTCTCTCTGCTCTTCTTCCCAACCCTGTTTGCACCCCAGGATGTGCTAGAATGGAGAACCTCCCGTTCGTTCTTCTACTGGAGAATACGGCGTCTTCTTCTGGAGGACTTGGTCAAGAAAAAGATCCACACGGCAAATCCTGAACTCACCGATGGCCAGATTCAGGCAATGCTGAGACGCTGGTTTGTGGAAGTCGAAGGCACGGTTAAGGTACAGCCCAATATTATTTATTTATTTATCTGTCTGTCTGTCTGTCTGTCTGTCTGTCTGTCAATCTATCATCTATCTATTTATATCTATCTATTTATATCTATTTATCTATCCATCCATCCATATCTGTCAGTCAGTCTGTGTGTCTATCATCTATATCTATCTATTTAAATCTCTATCCATCCATCCATCCATCCATCCATTTCTTTCTGTCTGTCTATCTATCTATCTATCTATCTATCTATCTATCTATCTATCTATCTATCTATCTATCTATCCATCCATCCACCCACCCATCTATCCATCCATCCATCCATATCTGTCTGTCTGTCTATCATCTCTCTCTTATCTATCTACCTACCTACCTACCTACCTACCTACCTACCTACCTATCATCTATTTCTGCCTCTTCCTTGGCTTTGTTTGTTTGTTTGACGTCACCCTCCTAGCTATAAAATCAAAGAGAAAAGCCTGCTGAAATCTTCGATTAAGATGGGATCTAGGAAAATAACGTGGAATTTTTGTTCAGAGGTATAATTGACCTACAAGATTTTTTTTAAAAAGATTTAAAAAATAAGAAAACATGGTTTGATGTATTTCAGCAGTTATGATGCAGCTAATACTTTCAAGTTCTGGAATTTGGGCTATTGTGCGTAATTTTAGAGCGGGAGGTGGATGGTTGAATATATTCTCTTCCATTTACATGGAAGCACAGTTTGGTTTTAACACCAAAGAGATTTTGGGTGTTAGAGGTTGCTAGGAAGAAAACTGTGTAATTATAAGCAGGCCTTATGCAGCAGTGGCTTTGGAAGAGAAATTTACAGGGAAAAATAATTAAGTTTACTGCAATATATCCTGAGCTGTCTAGAGAAAGCAGGAAATAAGCCTCCATAGAAAGATATTCAGGTACTTAGTGAGGGAGACTGGTTCTGTTTGACTTGGTTTTGGTCCTTTATATAGACAAATCCAGTTATTTCCATATCCTATGCCAGAAACCCCTAGTTTTAGTGCAATCAGTCAGACTTTACTTTATAGATAGGTTCAGAACATAGCATTCATATTTTCACCTCCAGGTTTGTAAAGGTCTACTTAAAACTAAAAATACAAGCGAAATTTACATGTACACTTATCTATGTCTGTCTGTCTGTCTGTCTGTCTGTCTGTCTGTCTGTCTGTCTGTCTGTCTGTCTATCTATCTATCTATCTATCTATCTATCTATCTATCATCTATCTATATCTATCTATCTGTCTGTCTGTCTATCTATCATCTATCTCTGTCTATCTCTATCCCTATCTCTGTCTATCTATCTACCTATCTATCATGTATCTATCGTCTTATCAAATTTATTGGCCGCCCATCCTACCATAAGGTAACTCTGGGCAGCTTACAGTATTAAACATTTAGGTAAGTTAAGTGGTGCAATAACTACCGTTTTGTTACTCCAGTATCATGTGGAGTATATTGTTACTTATCCGTTATAACCAGTTGAATCATGTCCTTAAAATCTTCTAAAGCAGGGGTGGCCACCCTTGGCACCTTTAAGAGCTGTGGACTTCAACTTCCAGAATTCCCTAAAATTCTGGGAGTTAAAAGTCCACAGGTCTTAAAGTTGCCAAGGTTGGACACCCCTGTTCTACAGGAAGGGCCACGATTTTGGAAATGGACACGGAAATGGACTTTGGCAGCACAGAAATTTTACTACAAACTCATGAGTTCAGCCCATTAGTCAAGCACTGGGGATAACAACCTTTTGATCCAAAGTGATCGTTCCCAGGATAGGCTGGTCCTGCAGACAAGATTCCCACCCTACCAAAACATTGAGAAAAAAAGATACTGGGTCCCATCCATTCAGTGGAAAAGTAGGACCAGTGATCAGTTCAGGTCTCTTCTAAAACCTGGTCAGGATCCTCAAATCAAAACGAAGTTATGTTTTTATGCTTTTAAAAACACCGCCCAGAGTCACACTGAGAGCGAGGGATCTAAATCTGATCAGTAAAATAAATAAATTTGATCAACAAATAAAATTGTTTCATTTCCCTTTGGGCTGTTGCTTAATTTAGAGCTCGCATCCTTCCAGTTTTTGGAGAAAGACCAATAGACTGTTTCAACTTTGCTCATAGGAAATGAGCTGGGAGTGAAAGCTTCCGTTAGAAATCTCTTCCATTGGAATTCTCTCCTGTTGGAATTAAAACTCGCTTAATGCTGTCTCTATCATGTTTTTACCGTGTTTTCCCGAAAATAAGACCCTGTCTTATATTTTTTTGAACCCTGAAATAAGCGCGTGGCCTTATTTTCCATGCGCTCAAAAGCCCGATAGAGCTTATTATCAGGGGATGTCTTATTTTGGGGGAAACAGGGTACATATCAGCGGAATTTTCCCCTCCCCTGATTTCAACATGCTTGCTGTTAGCAATTGGTACTCTCCAAAGCTGGGAGCTGGTCATCCTGTTTTTGAATTGTGGGGTGGGGGGGAAATAGAGTTCCAATTGAATTGGAAATGCTGCAAAAGAGAATGTGTTTGTGTGTGTGTGTGTGACTTGTTTTCTGGAGAGTTCAGAGCTTTGGAAGGTAAGGCCTTAGCAGCTTTCTTTTAAAATATATATATATATATTTATTTAAGCCTGGCATCTAGTTAGCTAATACATTACACCAATCAAGGAGAGTTATCTTAAGCCACAATTAATCTGCTCCCTGGCATATGTTGATAGGGAAGCATCATGCTGTTTCTTAATTAAAGGCAAACGGATTAAAAATGATTAATAAGGGTATTAAATATTCGTCTAAACTAAAGCTTTGGGAATCTCGGGCAAATCCTTGCTTCGCACAGCCCTACAAATTGGCCGACATTTGCAGCTCTGGCTGGGAGATAGGACAGCCAGCTGCTTCATTGATCATTTATAAAACACCTCGATTTATGTTGGAAGAAAGATGTTTTTGCTGTAGTCCAAATAGACAAGTCACCAAAACGTTAAAAAAAAAAACACGTGGACCGTTTGGCAGATTTTATTTTTTATTTTATTTTTTTATGATGAGCTTTGACTGCTGTGGATTTCATAAAGGCATCATCTCTATTCCTTCACCTTGCTAAATTTTATAAGAAAATAACTGGTAGGGCAGTTCTATTCATTCAAACAAATTCCTTCCCTTTTAGGAGGAACCTTTTAATTTCTTTTTGGAAAGAATCACAAAGCGGACATATTGGAAAGCGATGGAAGTTGAAATCCAAGTCCCGCCACCTTTTAAATCTTACATTTTACCCTATTGATGGCACTTTAATTTTTTTTAGCATTAAGGTGCCGCTTGCATCCTTGTGGGACCAAGGATGCTGTAGATTCCCCCCAAATATAACATTGTGAGAAATGGTATATCCTGTAAATTAATATTCAGCTATCCCATATTTATTTCCATTATATTATAGAATATAATATTCTATAAATTATATTATAGAATATTCTGTATTATAAAATATTAAAATATTTCTATTTTAATATCTCCAAAGTATCACATTTTTGTAGTACAAGAATTTCTGTAAAGGTCATCAGTGAACCATTAGCTCATTGAGATCACTAAATATAGTTAACATAAAATACTGTACAATCTATATTATCTTTCAAATATTAAACAGAATAATAGAATAACAGACTTGGAGGTCTTCTAGTCCAGTGGTCCCCAACCCCCGGTCCGCGGACCGGTGCCGGGCCGTGGAGTACCTGGCACCGGGCCGTGCAGCGGCCGGGGGCCATGAACGCTGCAGCGCAAAGGCTCCTGGGCCATGCGCAATGGGCCGTGCGCAAAAGCTCCTGGGCCGTGGCCCCACCCCTGCGCGCGCTCAGCGGGCCGCGGCGATAAAAAGGTTGGTGACCACTGTTCTAGTCCATCCCTCCTGCTCAGGCAGGAAGCCTTATACCCATGATGGCGAACCTATGGCACGTGTGCCACAGGTGGCACGCAGAGCCATATCTGTGGGCACGCAAGCGTTGCCCTAACTCAGTTGCAGCGCGCATGTGCATGCTGGCCAGTTGGTTTTTGGGCCTTCCGGGCCCACTGGAGGGGCCTCCAGAGGGTCTCTGGGGTGGGGGGGAAGGCTGTTTTCATCCTCCCCAGGCTCCAAGAAAGCCTCTGGAGCCTGGGGAGGGTGAAAAACAGGCCTAGCGGGCCAACCGGTAACTTTTTTGCCATCGCGTGCCAAAAGCAGGGGGAGTGCAGGGGGCTCACGCTCGCATGCATGGAGGGGCGGGGCATGGGAGGCATTGAATTATGGGTGTGGGCATGTGCACGCATGACACCCCCCCCCGGTACTCCCCCCGCTTTAGCACGCGACGGCAAAAAGGTTAGCCATCACTGCCTTATACCATCTCTGACAAATAGCTGTCCAATCTCTCCTTAAAAACTTCCAGTGTTGGAGCAACCACAACCTCTGGTGGCAAGCTGTTCCACTGGTTAATTGTTCTTAACTGTCAGGAAATTTCTCCTTAGTTCCAGGTTGCTTCTCTCCTTGATTAGTTTCCATCCGTTGCTTCTTGTCCTGCCCTCAGGGGCTTTGGAGTAGAGGTTGACTTGTCCATCCCTATCTACCGGGCTTCCTCTCAGTTATTTATTTCCCTTTAATAAATCCCATCCAAACAGAATAAGCAATACAGCATCTCCTCCTCAGGTGGACTTCCATGCCTACCTTCCTGATATCTTTTTTTTTTCCCCTCCTCAAAAAAAAAAAAAAGTCTCACTTGTCCTCCCTTGGTAGAAAAGCCGTATATAGCAAGAGGATGAACAGACAGCCATCGTTACGCATCCAGGGTTATCATTATTCATTTATTTATGATTTGTCTATATTAATCAAACTTCTTAATCGCCCTTCTGCCTTGTAGTTATGGGGAAAAACAGAAGGAGGAAGGAGTACAGGTAGTCCTTGACTTACGACAGTTCATTTAGTGACCATTTGAAGCTACAACCACACCAGTGGTGGGTTCCGCCCAGTTCCGCCGAGCCGGTAGCGGTGATGATATGATGTCACCGAACCGGTTCTGCCCCCCCCCCGCATTATTCTTACCTTTTATTTGGCCCCACCCCCAATCTATTGCTGCCTCCTGAGTCCCAGCTGATGACTAGAGGGAAAAAAACTGTTTAAACTCTTGCGCAGGGCTTCAAAGGGCCGCCCTACAGCTGATCAGTGTTAAAAGCAAACAAATGAGTAGACCGGTGCCTGCAAAAAATAAGTGGGTAGACTGGTACAGCTCTGCAAGCAGTTAAAAGCCTGGTAGACCAGTACCTCTGCTAAATTGTAAAGAATTGTCACATGACCATCAAGCCATGCCCACAAAATAAGCCACGCCCACAGAACCGGTAGTAAAAAAAATTAGAACCCACCCCTGAACCGCACTGAAAAAAAGTGACTTGGGGCCATTTTTCACACTTACAACCGTTGCAGCCTCCCCAGGGTCACGTGATCAAAATTCAGAAACTTGGCAACCGACTCCTATTGATGACGGTTGCCGTGTCCCTGGGTCCCCTTTTGAGACCACCTGACCAGCAAAATCAATGGGGAAACCAGATTCACTTAACAACCGTTTTAATAACAACTGCAATGATTCGCCTAACACAGTGTTGGTGAACCTTTTCGGCACTGAGTGCCGAAACAGGAATGCACATGCGTGTGCGGGGGAGCACCAGAAACCGGAAGAGCAGTTCCCTAGCACGCATGCGCATGCCAAGAAGCTGAGCTTCTGGTTTCCAGCGCGCACATGCACGCCGGTCACTTGGTCTTCCGGTTTCTTGCGCATGCGCGCGCGAAGACCATACACACTGGAACCCGGAATAGCAACGGGCGACAGCTGGTGTGCCCAGAGCGATGGCTCTGCGTGCCACTTCCGACACACGTGCCATCAGTTCGCCATTACAGGCCTTACAACTGTGCCTAGAAAGGTCATAAAATGGGGCAAAATTCACTTAACAACAATGTCGCTCAGCAATAAAAATCTTGGGCTCCGTTGGGGTCGTAAGCCGAGGATTACCTGCATTACGTATGTTCGCCGCATTGAGTTGCCTGTAAAAATAATAAAGGCAGGCGATGAGAGTCACCTCGTGTGGTGAGATCGGCAGCAAACAATTTTTAAAAACAAATTTAAAACACAGCAACATCACTTAGACTTCTACCCCGCTTCTTTGTTCTTTTACAGCTGTCTACAGAGTCAGCACATTGACCCCCAATAATCTGGGTCCTCGTTTTACCCACCTCGGAAGGATGGAAGGCTGAGTCGACCTCGAGTCAGTCAGGGCTCAAACAAAATAAGAATAATTGCTATCATCTGAATTTTGAAACCTGCCTTCTTTTTAAAAACTTAAAATTCAAACGTGGGAATCCACCTAAAATCAACTTATCCCTGCCTTATAAATATATCTGGGTTCCTAGAGCCTTCCCAGTTGCTGCTGAGGCTCGACTCACTTTATTTCTCCCTTATCCGATGCTTTTGCCAGCCAGTTTTTGCATTGTGTGCGGCTGCCGCAGAGTCACCAGGCCCAAGGGTCGGTCTTAAAGGGCCGGCAGATGTTTCCAGCTGGGGAAAAGCCGCCCCCTCCTCTTTCACCCGGACGGGGACAACTGGCAGCTATTAAATCATGATGGGAAATTCATTGTCATTCTGACTTGGACTTCATTAGCAATATAACAGAGAAGGATAGTGCACCTTTAAATGATGAGCTTTGGTGTTTAATTACCCAAATAAAATGACATAAATATGAATGAGCGCTAATGGTGGTACTTGGGTTTTTTTTTTCCCCCCTGGAAACCATTAACGATTCTTAAATGATTTGTAAAGAAAATGAAAGGCGAAGAGAAGCAGTGAGATGGCTATTAGGGTTCAAACACACTCCTGAATTATTACATAGTCAACTACCTAGCAAATACAGAGAACTAAATGATCTTGATCTTGCTACCTTCTGATTTTTTTTCCCGCCCCCCTCCCTCCTTCTAAATTTACTGCTAGAGTCATTTCACCCCACGGCACGCGGCATTTTGATCTCCCTTCTGATGTTCATTAGTTCAGAAATGGGGATTTGGAGGTGGGGGTTGGACTGGGTACATGTCAGAAAGACAAAAGATTTCGGTTCTGCAGAAACGGGCTAAAGTTGTTTTTGCTCTCGTTCGAGCAAATTGCCCATGAGGACTAGCGACACACATGCTGAAAACAGGGCCACCTGCCTAGGCCCATTTTTTTTTTAAAGGGGCCTTTAAAACAGGCCCTGGGTTAGAATGGGTAGCGTAGCCCTTGTGGGATGTTGTTGCTATTGTGGATTATTTTATCCAGATTGCCTTGATATTTTTTGTGTTTCTGTTGTGCTTTCTAAGTTGCTCAGAAGCGTAACGGATTGGGACGGCCCCTAAATCAGACAAATAATTACATTTTAACAATTAAATAAATAAATAAAGCAATAAAATTTAACAATTTTATTAAAGCCAGCTGTCATTTCTGTTGTTGCATAAATTATTCCTAGAAATTTGTATGGACAAAATTGAAGACCTCTATTTTTTCTTCCTCCTTCTCCTTCTTCCTTACTTTTCTCCTCCTCCACCACCTCCTTCCTCTTCTTCCTCCCCTTCCTCTTCCTCCTCCAGTCACTCTTCTTCCACCCTCCAAAGCTGACGTGCCTCTAGTTTAATAGAGGCAGGGACAGAGTAGCTTCAGCATGCAAGTCAAACATTTGAATGGAGTCGGCTAGTTTGTGACCTCCCATTGGACTGGAACAGCGAATCAGAAGACCTAAGTCAATGTTCCTCAACCTTGGCAACTTTAAGATGGGTGGACTTCAACTCCCAGCATGCTGGGAGGGAAGCATAGCCAGCGTTGCGGCAGTACGATGGGTCCTTTGAGGGCTCTTGAAGACCCATCGATATCCCTGCTGTCCGGGTACTCCCAGCATGCTTGCTGTATGGGGAATTCTGGGAGTTGAAGTCCACACAACTAAAAGTTCCCAAGGTTGAGGAATACTGACCTCAGTGCTGGACCAAGCAAAGAACATTACCTAGTATGCCAGTGTCACTAACTGAAGATTTTCTAGTGTTGGAACGGAGTCTTGTCTGAAGATATATGAAGTGGCTTTTTATGAAGTTCAGCTTTGTCACAGGTTCTCCAGTCTCTATCCAGACCTCTTTGAGAGTTGAGGTTGAATTCTTTGCAAGGACATTGAGTTCTCTGCTTCCTAATTATGGCATTCTCTAACTCAGGGGTGTCAAACGCAAGATCTGGCTCGCGAGGTGCTTAGATCTGGTCCGCGTGGCCGCCCTGAAAACAGTGAAAGACCGGCCCGTGGAGCCTCTGCCAGCGAAAACGGAGCTCCATTTTCACTGGCAGAGGGCTGGAGGAGGCCATCGCGTCCGAAAACAGAGCTCCTTTTCCAGTGGTGGGAGTCAAATAATTTAACAACCTTACATTAGGCAGAGAACATTAGGTTCTCTGCCCTAATGACCGGCTGGGTGGGCATGGCCATGGTGGGCGTGGCCAGGGGTGTGTGACAGGCAGCACTCGATCTCCTGCATCCTCCTGGGAGCAAAAACCGGCTGCGGGGGGAACACGTTACCCCACCCCGTGCCCCGTTTTGGGCCTAGGAGGCCTCCCTGCACTTACTTGGGAGCCAAAATGGGGCGAGTCAGGACTCCTGGAAGGGCTGGGGCAGGGCCAGCCAGCAATTTAACTACCAGTTTTTCTGAACCGGCTGAATCCCACCATTGTCCTTCTAACTGGCAGAGGGCTACAGGAGGCCATTGCAGCCAAAAACAGAGCCTAGGAGGGCCACATGGAAATTATAATGAGAGGGAGGGTCAATGGATCCCCGTAGCTCTTCCCGGGGTACCACAGGTGCCCCCAACACGAGTGATGTCAAGCTGGCCATGCCCCCCACTGGCCACGCACCTCCTGGCCCCCCGAGGTCAAACACAACCGTGATGCAGCCCTGAATTAAATCAAGTTTGACACCACTGCTCTTAAGTCACGCCTCCCTTAAGCTAGTCAACAGCTCTGGTCGTCGTTGTTTTCTGGCAGGCCTACTTGTGGGATAACAACAAGGACCTGGTGGAGTGGCTGGAGAAACAGCTGGTAGAGGAAGAAGGTGCCCGCTCGGTGGTTGACGAGAACATCAAATACATTTCCAGGGACTACGTACTCAAACAGATACGAAGGTAAGAATGCTATGCAACGCTCAGGGACCTTACCTATTCCATAAATTCAAAATGTGGGTAGTTTACAGTAGTCCTCAACTTACAACGGTTGGTTTACTGACCGTTTGAAGTTGCAACGCCACTGAAGAATGATGACCGTTTTTCACACTTAGGACCGTCGTGTGGCCATGTGACCAAAATTCATACTTACGACGGTGGCAGTGTCCCCGAGGTCACACCACCCCCTTTTGCGACCTTCTGACAAGCAAAGTCAATGGGGAAGCCGGATTCACTTAACAACCGTGTGATTAACTGAAGAGCTGCAGTGATTCACTTAGCAACTGCGGCAAGAAAGGACGCAAAATGGGGCAACCCTCACTTGACCCCTGTCTCACTCGGCAACAGAAATTTGGGGCTCAATTGTGGTCGTAAGTTGAGGATTACCTGTAATCTATTTTGGACTTTCTGGCCACGAAAAACCTGCAGGGTTGACTAATTTTGAATAATATGAAACTGAACTCCAGTGGTTTCCCTTGTGTATCTCTACTTCCAACAGACACGTTCAGAAACTTTTTAAGGTAACCGCTGGGGCCTCCTTCTCCTTTGCTATTAACTGTGTTAGACCTACAGGAAGTCCTCAATTTACAGCCGTTCCATTTAGTGACCGTTCTCAGTTATAATGGCATTGAGAAAAGGGACATAGAACTAGTTCTCCATTCATGGCTGTTGCAATATTCCCACTTTGATCACAATTCAGCCGCTTGGAAACCAGTATTTATTGATGACGGTTGTGGCGTTCCCAGCAGTTGTGGGTTTCAAATTTTTTTACTACCAGTTCTGTGGGTGTGGCTTGGTGGGCGTGGCGTGGCTTGGTGGGCATGGCAGGGGAAGGATACTGTAAAATCTCCATTTCCTCCCCTATCCAGGGGAAGGTTAGTGCAAAATCTCCATTTCCTCCTGATCAGCTGAGACTTGGGAGGCAGAGAATAGATGGGGGAGGGGCCAGTCAGAATTTTTACTACCGGTTCTCCGAACTACTCAAAATTTCTGCTACCGGTTCTCCAGAACTGGTCAGAACCTGCTGAAACCCACCTCTGGCTGGTCCCAGAGTGGGGTGGGAATGGAGATTTTGCAATATCCTTCCCCTGCCACGCCTACCAAGCCACGCCCACAGAACCGGTAGTAAACAAATTTGGATTTCACCCCTGAGAAAACTAATAAAATAATAACGCCCCCCCTACCCTGGTGACAACACACATTCATACTAGCCATTTAATGGGCTCCATCCCGCTCTGGGTTCCCCAGGCCCACTGGCAGAACCACGTCTTCGGGGCCTTGCGAAAGAATGGGGGCCAGTCTAATCTCCGTGGGGGAGGGGTGTGATAGTCCAGAGAGAGGGAGCCACCACGCAGAAGGCCGTTCTTTTTCTCGGTCTCATCCAATGTATCTCTTTAACGGACGGGACCCGTAACATTCCTTGCCTCCCCGTTCTAGTGGGTCGGGTAGATTCTCTGCAGTGCGGTGATTTGCTTAACCACCATGGCAAAAAGGTTTCAAAATGCGGCGCGACTCACTTAATAACCGCCTTGCTTATGGAAATGGAAATTCTGGACCGGATTTTCATCGTAAGTCGAGGACTACCTGTACTTGGTGGTCTGACCACAGAGCTTGGCTCCCCAGATGGAGTGTCTACCCCTTCTGAGGTCACTACTTCTCCTTTTTCTTCCTCCTAGCTTGGTCCAGGCTAACCCAGAGATAGCCATGGATTCCATCGTCCACATGACGCAGCACATATCGCCCACCCAGCGTACCGAGATCGTGCGCATTCTCTCCACAATGGACTCGCCCGCCTCCACGTAAGAGGACGCCCTCCCCACCCAATCGCGGAGGGCAAGAAAGGGCCGCTCGCCGCTCTCAACCCCCACAACGTGGACCTGCCAAGAACCGCTGGAAAGTGACTTTTTAATTTTTTTTTTTTTTTTAAATACCAGACTTCGACGGAAGACGGCATGGCATCCTTCTAGTTGCAAAAGACTCTAGGAACGCAGCTCCCCCACCCCACCCCACCCCCCAGTCCTAAAATAATTTATGGATGCCATGTAATCTTACCTATTTATTTAACAAAGAAAGTGACTGGACCAATATTGTAACTAACGGTTGTCTGTACAGCACTTATCCAGATTATGAATGGTACTGTTGTACCATGAGGTCACGGAATTTAAAGGGTGGGGGTGGAGGGGGGAGATAAGGGGTTGATGTCCGTTGTGAGCCAGTTTGTCTGTTAGTTAACATCCCCCCCTCCCCAAACCCAAGATCCCCCTGGTTTCATCATGGTAAACGGGCTGCTCACCCTCTCCCCATTTTCCCGGGGCCCTTCGGTTCATCGGCTAATCCTGCAGGAGACGGGTAGTGATAGAAAAAAAATTACACACACCCTTCCTGAATCAGCCTGGCGGGATCACCATTTCCGTGCCTAAAGGGAGACCCTCGGACTTCGTGTAGCTCATTCCCCTAATCTGGAAAGAGCGTCTCCTTCCGTCACAAGGCAAGGACAGGGCCCATTTTCCTCTTGAAAGACTGCAGCAGCAACGCGTCTTCCCCTTCCCTCGGCTGGGCTCCCTCTGTATAGTCGCAAAGCAGCCAGCTGACGCTTAAAAGGCAGCACAATGCTTTCCACGGTCATAACTACCAGTCTTTGGGCGTTAAAACAGACCTATCCAGCACCCCTCGGTTTCCCAGGGCGGGCTGGACCAAATCCAGCCCAGAGTGCCTCTCTTATGTCAGGTATCGTGCCTCTCTGCCCCATCGCTTGGTCCTACAGCACAGATTAAGCCAACAAGATTTTCACTTGCTGACATCCCCCCCGTCCCCATCCCACCTGCTGATTTCCTCCTCGTGTTTTGCTCCAGGAAGGAAGCTTCACTTCGACCTGCCCCAATGAAATGGCCCTAATTAAGTTCTGAAACTGACCAGGGATGCATCAGAGCATCTCTTTCTGCCGCCCTCCAGCCAGGACAGGAAGTGCTGGAAGCTACAACTGCTGGGTTTTTTGGGGGTGGAGGGGAATGTGGCAGATGTGTAAGACTGGAGGACCAGCAGCACTTAGTAAAATCTGCAGAAATGGGATTTTGGGGTTCTGGTAGGAATTAGGGGGCATGTGCCTTGCTGGGGTGGAGAAAGTGTCTGGGCCACCAGCAAGATTTGGGATCCCATTTTCAAAACTCAGTTGCCCAAGTTGTAGAAGAGCATTTCCTTTCTTCTTGCAGACACACCAACCTATAGCATGCAGCTGTGGGACACACATACACACACACACACACACCAATTTTGGAATGGGACAACTCTCCACAGCCACAACTCTCACAATTCAACAAATACAAAAGTGAAATTAATTTCAACAGAACCGTTGCCAATAATAATAAAATTAAGTCAATCCAGAAACACAAGAGTTACATTAATTATCAATGAAAATGTGGCCACCGACAATAAAAGTAACTGAGTGGAACGATTAATTCAGCGTTGACTTGTCCCGCGGTGAGTTGGGCATGGCGAGGTGGCCGCAGCGAGATGTCCTTGACCCCCTCGAGTTGTATAGCTGATTCTTACCTAAGGGCCTATAGCTGTGATGGGAGAGTCTACTCTACACCCCCACACACACACACACCCCAACTCTCAGAGCCAGCCTTAGATCCAAGTTTGGGGGGGGGGCAGTCATAAAACCCCCAGCCACTTTAATGGTCTTTCTAAACCAAGGATCTAATTTTTCCCTGCTTAAAAAAAAAAAACCAACAGTTTGGAATTAATGCGGTTGGCTTTTTTTTTCATAAATTGCAAAGTGCTAAAATCCATCCTGCTCAACGTAATAACAGAAAGTGGGGAGGGAATTTAATTTGGGGGGGGGGTCTGGGTTGGGAGGATCCTCGTAGCACAGTATTAACCAACCAAGCTTCACTCAAAATCAAGACCAAGAATCTAGTTCCCAGGTGCATTTCGTTTTTTTAACCTGGAAAGTGCCGAGTGTGTGAATTAAAACACCCCTTCGCTGTACTTCAGAGAGCCCAGCCTTCTCCAGCTTCCAGACCTCAAAAGCTTCCCCGGAGTTATGTCCAAAGATTACTGGCCAGAATGGACATCTTGGACATCTGGAGGGCTAGAGTGACTTTGCAACAGGCTGAAACATCAAAAGGAACCTTGTTTGAAGGGAGATATAAATTCTTCCGCAAAGCACATATTTTGGGCTAAAATAACGCAGATCTACTTAGATCATACTAACAAAATGTTCCAAAAGAAGAGGCTTACTTATGGGACTGTGGTGGTGGGCTTGAATTTCCACCAGATTTTCCCTCCAGGGTTCAGCTCAGTGCCTTTCTTTTTTTGAAACTCCCCCTCCCATTATTTCTTCATTAAAGAAAATAGATGTTCAGCTAAACTCCCAGGATGGCCCAGGTTCCAGAGAGCACAATTGCATTCGAGATGATTTTCCCCAACAACTGCCACGGAATCGCATTGATCCCATCATCCTTCCAAGAACCGAGTCTTAGCTTCTCACATCCATCTTTGCAATTTTGGCATCCTTCCTTCCCTCATGCAAAACATACGAACCGATCTGTTGTTTATGTCAAGGAGTTGTCGCTTCCAAAAGCTTTGTAACCACCAGCTTAAGCCTGTCAAATGGCTGTTACTTTCGACCCCACGCCGATTCTTTTTTAGAGGCTGCAAAAACAACCGCAGTGAAAAGATGGCCTTTTCAATCTTACCCCTTAAATTCTAGTCCACCAAAGTTTGAAAAAAAAAAATTTAAATCAACACATCCTCACACAGGATTGAAGAGGGGCGGAAAAACAAGCAAAGAGGCATTTCTGGGTGCTTCCTGAATCTGTTCGGTCCCTAAAAGATGCAGCGATCATTATGATTTTAGCAGGAATAAATTCAGACAAAACCTCTCGCTCGGAAGTATTAAAGTGCGTTTTGCTTTGGGAGAATTGTCGGGTCTGAAGTTGTTCCACTTACCTCAGTTTTCTTTTAATAAAACCAACAATCAATTTTGTGTCTTTGCATTCCTTGGTGTGACTTTCGGTGATATTGAAATACCGTATTTTTCGGACTATAAGACACTCCGGACTATAAGACACACCTAGCTTTTGGTGAGGAAAATAAAAAAAAAAAAACCCTGCTCTGCCTCCCAGCATCCATCTGGTATTCATTTGGCCCGTTTGCTGTGGCCCATTTGCTGCTACAACCCGTTAGTTGCGGCCCATTCGCCACCACCCGTTCAACACTGATGCAGCCCATTCTAGAACAGCTGATTGGCGTCGCACCAACCCCCCTCCCCCCCGCCACAATATTTGCTGTATAGGATGCGCAAACATTTCCACCCACTTTTTTGGGGGGAAGTGAATCTTATACTCCAAAAATATGGTATTTTTCTGCTCCAGGCAACATGCTCACTTTGAGGACATCCAACTCTGTTGCATGTTTGATCTTCCTGTAGTGAAATTAGCTTAGAAACATGACTGCTGTTACTCAGTAAGCATCAAGTAGTATAATTCTCTATGGAGATTCTCAATCATCCAGGTCATGGTTATCCCAAAAGAACTTTTATCAAAAGGCAGCTGGACTTTGTTTTTCCTTGAAGACGTTTCTCTTCTACTCCAAGAAGCTGAAGAAGCTTCTGTGATGAGAAGTGAAACCTCTTCAAGAAAAAAGAAGAAAGTCCAGTTGCCTTTTGGAAAAAGCTCCTTTGGGAGGATCAAGTAGTGTAGTTTAGAAATGGAAAGTGATAAACCAGCATGCAATTTCCAGAATCCACTAACCTCTACAGCCTCGGAGAACATTTTTGGAGAAAAGTCCCCATGTAGGTTTCATTTGGTCACCGGGCAGTAGGCCAAGTCCCATAGGTTCCTCTCTCCTACTACATATAGGCAGCCACTTTATCAGAAAGCTGACTGGTCAGTGTGGAATCCATGGTGCTCTGATGATGTTACCTAGTTGGGCAATGAAATGTCGGCAAGAAAACCAGCAAGCTCAGAGAGCACCGAGGACCTCTAATTTCAACTAATATTCTATTGGTCATTGTTCTTCACCACTCCCACTTAACCCTCTAAGTGTTCTGTCCCTGTCTCACACACGCACACAAACAGATAGCCAGGGGTTAAATAAAACTGGCGGACAACAAATTCTTTCAATAAGAGGATTAGCAGCAACCCAGTAGCTGCTTGCCAAGAACTTTACTCATAGAGGGAGGAGGTGTTCCTCCGTCAGATAAACCCAAACAAGATACACACAGTTCAAGAATTGTCCAGTCCAGTGCATATTAAATCCAAGGCAGATAACGTTGTTTCAAAGATACAATGTGACTCGCTTGTAGTTAGTTTTGTCCGTCACAGAGTCCAAATGGCCACCTCACCCCCTTTTATTCCCTGTGGGGTGTGGTCCAGTGTTTCAGCTTAATCTCTGGCACGCCTCCTTTTCTGCTGTGTGCGCTTGTCTCTCCGACGCTGGCGTGGATCCAGCCAAGACTTATCTCCGTCACTGTCCAACTGTTCGGAGATACCTGGCTCCTGGCCAATCTCTTCTCCTTCGGGAGACACCTGAGGCATTGCCGGAGAGGAGGGTCCTGGAGAGGGAGGCCTGGCCAACTCCTCTCCTTCATGTTCGGAGCCTTCTCCCTCCGGTAAGTCAGCCTCGGGGGTCGGAGTCACAACAGGGAGGTTGTCATGGTTGTCCCAAAGGTGCTTTTTCAGGAGACAACTGGACTTTTCTTATTTTTTCTTTTAAGAGGTTTCGCTTCTCATCGAAGAAGCTTCTGCAGCTCTGACTGGATGAGTACCGTCAAAGAGTTTATTATCTCTAGTTGATTCCATAGTGCCAACTTCGCGGAGTTGCCCCAAAGCACAAATATTATAGAAATAAAGCTATATATTCCTTAAACACCCTGGAATATAACTGTATGAGCCGCGGTGGTGCAGTGGTTAGTATGCAGTACTGCAGGCTACTTCTGCTGATCACCGGCTGCCAGAAGTTTGGCAGATCGAATCTCACCAGGCTCAAGGTTAACTCAGCCTTCCATCCTTCCGAGGTTGGTAAAATGAGGAGCCAAAGTGTTGGGGGCAATATGCTGACTCTGTAAACTGCTTAGAGAGGTCTGTAAAGCACTGTAAAGTGATATATAAGTCTAAGTGCTATTGCTATTTTATTCAAGAAGCTCTTGCAGTTGGGGGATGGAATTTCTATTTCTGCAGGTGTTGCTGTAGCTCAGAGCAGGAGTTTCCTGCTTGTCTCCAGCAACTCAGGATTGGCAAGAATGAAGTTGGTTGCACGGCAAAACTTCCAAACTCCTTGGAGGGGGTTGGGAAATAAAAGCAGTATAGAAAACGAGACAGTTTATTTCTGACCCAGCTGTAGAATACCTAAAATCACACACAAAAAAAAGCAATTAATTTTATTTCCCTGAGAGGTGAAGACCATCTTGTTATTCGAGGATCTTTGGAAGCCAAAGGGGAGGGATATGTTTGGGGTTTTTTTAAAGTTTTGGAGGTTTTATTTTTTTGCACTTACTTACTGATCAAGCTGGACGTGATTTTACATGAACCAGCCATTTCAAGGCTGACAGAAGTGAGGTTAATTGCCAGGGCTGCGAAAGATCTGATGTCGAAATGCTTTGCTTTCATGCAAATTTAGTTCCTGACCGGCTCGGAATATAAAGCCATTTTCTTCTTTGTATTTTGTTATGATTAAGAAGACATTTTCCATCCTTTGATTCACGAGTCTGCACCATTGCGCCCTGTGAGTTCACCTTGAGCCTATCATAAGTGTGTCACAATAAAATAATTGGGTATCGTTAACAAGATGATTTCTTGGAACAAAAGGAAGGTCTCCAAGTCTAAATCATCGATGCCCAAGTTCTCACGCACCGCCGCACAAGACCCTGACATTCAAGGGTGTGCATTGATCCCCATCAGTCTGTTAATCACAACTAGCAGCTCGGTAGGAAGATGTAATTGAATGAGTGGCTAATGTGTGGGCTGTGGGAAGCCCTTTGAGGAAAATTATGAGATTGCTTTGCATCTCCGGCTCTTCGACGATTTCACAAATAACAGACCAGGTCCATTTTTGAAAATTGAGGCTGTCACAAAACTATTTCACAGCCTGAGGGAAAAAAAATATGATCTTGCACTGTTTCGAGCACCTTTCAGGGCAAATATCTGAAATTAATATTCATTGAACAGATGTCTATTATGGTTGGTCACACACAGGCAGCCAGATGGGACGGGAGCTGGCATTTTTATCTACCTCTCGAGACCTTCCCAAGGACCCTGAGATAGGCAGATGTTGTGGTTTGGTGGTGTTAAAGGTATCGTCGCAATTGTTGCAATTGATCGATGGTGGTTTTGTCAATGCCGATGGCATTCAAGTGGTACTTCAGTGGTTTTGGGGTTGCCCCCAAAAGGTGCATTATCGGTATTATTTCCGACGCTTCCATTTCAGGAAATAACATGCAGTTTCATTGCAGAAGGTGGAGGAATTGAAGGCTATAAACTCAAATGCACTATATATGGATGCACAAACACAAGGCATACTTGATAAAAATAGAGAGGGAGTACTGACACTCATATATGCAACAAAAATGATTACATGGAAAAATAAGGGTGATGCTATGACTTTATTGATAGTGGCCCATTTTTCAAGAATTGAGCACTTCTATAGGGTTTTTTTCTCCCCGGCTTGATATAAAATCCATTCATACCTGTTTCATCTCATGCCATCATTTTCATTCAATAGCTGAGCTTCTTCATTTGTGGATGGTTTAACTGCTGTGTACATGAAAAAAAATCAATAAATTGACTTTTTTTTAAAAAAAACCATATGTTCACCCATCCATATTATGTAAGTCTTGGCCACATCCTATTGGTGGCCTTTATCTGGGTTCTTTCTTTCTTTCTTTCTTTCTTTCTTTCTTTCTTTCTTTCTTTCTTCTTTCTTTCTTTCTGCCTCCTTCCTTCCTTCCTTTCTGCCTGCCTGCCTTCCTTCCTCCCTCCCTCCCTCTCTGCCTCCTTCCCTCTCTCCCTCCCTCCCTCCTTCCTTCCTTCCTTCCTTCCTTCCTTCCTTCCTTTCTTCCTGAGTCCTTCGGGAGAAGAGCGGTATACAAATTTAATAAACCTAAACCTAAACCTAAACCTAAACCTAAACCTTCTTTCTTTCTTTCTTTCTTTCTTTCTTTCTTTCTTTCTTTCTTTCGAATTGCACACCCAATACCCATCACAATTATGCCAGCCACAATAACTAAATTAGCAATTCAACAAAATAATTGGAAATGCGATTCTCTCTATTCCGAGGCTTCCCCGAGGGCTTTTGCCGATCGGTGGGGGGGAAACTCCGCTTTACTAATTCAGAAGCTAATTAGAGCCACACTTGTAAATGAAGTTGTTTGTCTCAAAGTTGAGATTCGGTCCCCGCTTTTATTTATTTATTTGTTTGCATTTTTTGTGTCTCTGTGTGGGGAAGAGGTTGCTTTTCTTCCTTATAGGCATGTTGCAAATCAAAAAACAACACAACAACAAACCCAGCAACCCTTACAACTGGCTAAAATCATTTAAATTCTGTTGGTCATTGAAGACATGAAACATTTGTATTGAGTTACGTCTGTATTTTCCTCTCTCTTAAAAAAAAACCAACTACTTTAAACCTACTGACTTTGGTAGAAAATGAAAAATGACACTTTCAGCCAGAGAGAAGCAACCTCATCCCAAATCTCCAGGCCAAGAAAACAAACAAAGGCTCTCCAGACTGTTGTGTGTGTGTGTGTGTGTGTGTGTGTGTACAGTTAATATTTCGGGTTTCTTCCGTGTAATTGTGAACATATCCCTAAAAGGGTAGAAGCGACGTTTCGACAGAATCTCATCTGCCATCATCAGGCTTACAAGCCTGATGATGGCAGATGAGATTCTGTGAAAACTTACATATATATATATAGTGGAAGACTCAAAGAGATGCCTCTCTCAAACCCTGGACATTCACTAGCTACCAATATTCATATGTTTAAA